AAAAAATTAAATATAATTTTTTATAAAAATTTTTAACCGTAATAAAATTTAAATTTAAATTTAGATCGGTCAAATAAATTAAGTCAAGTTGCAGAGTCAGTGTCGGCGTCGGCGGTTAGAGATTTCAGGAGGCAAAAAAATGGCCTTCTCTGTCATTTCTCGCCCTCACAAAGCTTCTCTTTTTCTCTCTCCATATCTTTCTCAATCACTTTCTTGGTTGTCGTTTTTTTCTTCTTTTTCTTTTTTTTTCCGTGAGAACGCTTTTTTGTACTTTAAAAGTGTGAAACTTGTGTGCGCTGGCTTAGGTTTGGCCAGATGTTGCTCAGTAAGCAATAATTACTCGTATATTTCTCCAAGGAAAACGGCGGGCAATTTGCTAACGAGAAGTCAAACTAGCCAATATGGGATATTTCACACGACACGAGTAGTGGCCTAGTGGGCCGACCCGATTGATCAGAGAGAGATAAGGAAGGAAAATTAGCGTTCTGATCGAAAAGTCTCCGCACCGCCAATCTATTTGTGTCGCCGGACCGGGCACGAGCCCGATGGGTCCGCAATGATAGTGAGGCGGTGTTTGCTGCTGTGAGGCACGTGGGTCAAATCGGAGACGGAGAGGACGGAGCTAGCTGTTTTTGATAAGCGATTCGCTTATTTGAAATCCTTGTTTTTTTAAGGTCTCATCTTATTGGTGTAAAATTAATAATTAAGATAAAAATTTAAGATAATTTCACAAATTTTAATCTCATTTTAATTTTTAACTTTTAAAATAATTAATTTTTATGATTTTACTTTATTTTAGTTTTAATTCTTTTGATAATTAGATGTTACATATTTAAAAAAATTTGTGTAAATTATAGACTAAAATTAAAAATAATTAAAAATTTTACTTTCATTTTTCGTATTGTTTTAATTCCTATTTAAATGTTTATACTTTTAGTCTTCAATTTCTACATATTTCGTCAAATATCTAACAAAGTGGGATTGAGGGTTAAGGGAGTGGTACTAAAAGTAAAAGTTGATTAACGATTGTGTGTTGCAGAGCTCCTGGTCTGGGAACCAATTGCAGCACACTTTATTTAATTAAGTTAGAAAGAAGTACTTGATAGTTGATTCTTATTTAAGCAAAAAAAAAAAAAAAAAAACCTACTTTGAAAGAAGTGCACTGAGATTGAATATTGCTTTTAATTAAGCTTCCACAATAAGACAAGTGTCCACTTTGAATTAATAAGTTTGAGCATGCAATGATGGAATATAATAACAGCAAATGCTTTTGTACTTCTTATCACGAACCACAAGCTATAATAATACATAAAATCAGTTGTATAATCGACTAAAATACAGAGTTCATAGACAAATGTGAAAAGTTTACAGTTGTGTTGCATATATATAACGTTAACAAAACGTCATGAGTAGGAAATTTTTTTCTTCCCACCTCAAAAGAAGTACAGGGGTAAAAAAAAAATCACCATTCAATTATGGAGTAAAATCAGATAACTTATTCTGATTATCGACATAATTGATTTTTACAACATGGTGCTTGCTGTGCATACACAAAACACAACAAAAAATATCTCATAACACAATAATGGATTACTTGATTTCCAAATCCTCGCCAGGATCAGGCATCACTTCAACCTTTGATGAAACAGAACCTTCTGATTCTGAAGAAAATGTGTGACCACGATGTCGTTGCACCACCAAAACTGATGCTGTAGTTGAGAAATCTGCAGAAGTCAACAAGTTCCCGACAGGGCCAAGTTCAGGACATTCACTCTTCACACTCAAACCATTAGCAACTACACCCTGTGGATTTCTTCCAACCAAAAACAAATTGCATCCACTGAACTCCTTTATTGCCGCAATTGTTTCTGAAGAATTCTCCACTTGTCTAACCTCGTATTTGATCGAACTGTCGATCAAGATCTTTTGCTTCAATTCAGCAAGCGCATTCTCATCTTGCGGTCCGAACGAAATGTTCGAGTCATCTTCTTGGATATCTACTCCGACGGTCTCTTTAGCCTCTTCCATCATTGCGGGACCTGGCAATAGGTGAATGACGTTCAAACTGATGCCAGGATGTTTAGCCATTCGCATACCGAAAGCAAGGGCTTCACAATCATCATGACCACCGAAGAATAAGACTTTTACGTTTGAAGAAACATGGCTTGCAGATATATGTGTGGTTCCACCAAATCCTCTGTCCACCAATATTCCAACAGAGCACGGAGCCTGCTCGAGAACCTTCTTATTGATGACTCGAAACTCGGCACGAGTTGTCTCCAATGCACCATCCCACCTCTGGTGCTTGTGAAATGGAAGAATTATCATTGCTGTCCGTTTCCTCTCAGCGCTTGCGCAGATATCTTCGTGCATATCGGACATTGCTGAGATTGCGGTCATTGGACGGATGGAGACTCGACTCAGCTGCTGGAAGGCCTCAAAAGCGACAACAATTTGGTCAGAGTTTGACTGACTCCCCTTATTCCAAAAGGGTAGCCCGTTTTTCCTTGCCTTGTGAACCATAAGAATTGAGGAAGGTCTTTCCGTGAGCTCCATGAGATGCATTGCATAGACACATAGCCGCTCCTTCTTTTCAGTCCCACGGGAAGCCTCGATGAGATTGATCATGGTGGGGATATTTCTTATGCTGTAAAAGCATGCCAAGATGCGGAGCTCGGTATTTGTCTCTTTCTTCCCAATACATCTATCCTTGTAATAGTTATTCTTTCTTTTAGCAGGCTTGTACACCGCTATCACTAGAGGAGTCGTGATAAATGTTGTAAATACGGCCATCAAAACCATGATGGCAAATGTTTGATCGTTAAGCACCTGCAATATCAGTGAAATTATTTTAGCGCCGAACTCATATATCCAATGAAAACTTAACTATAGATGATCATTAATGGTGGATTACAAGTTCTACCTTTCTATCTTTTCCAATGTTAAGGACAATGAGTTCCACTAATCCTTTAGTATTCATGAGAAATCCCAGAGCTAGAGACTCCTGTAATGGCACTTTGCAGAAGAGAGAAACGACCACGGTGCCAACAATCTTTCCAAAGCAAGCAGTTATAATGACCAAGACAAGAAGGCCCCATGATTGAGCCCCACTGATCGTTGTTATATTGGTCTTCAATCCGCTCGACACGAAGTACAATGGAAGGAAGAGGCCAGATACAAGATCCTCAACCTTTTCCACCATAGCGCCTGCAAATGGCCCTTCCTTCGGAACAAGAACACCAATCACAAACGCGCCAAAAAGGGCATGAATTCCAATGGTATCAGTGACAAACCCAGCCGCCAAAACTGCAGCCAGTGTGGCACACACATACAATTCTTTGACCGGCTCACCCTCAGGACAGCGCTGCGCCATCCATTTGAATATAGGCGGGACACCAAATGCGCAACACAGAACAAAAGCAGAGCTACACAAGAAAACCCACAAGGAGACAAGGGGAGAGCTGTCATCTCCAGAGAGGGCAATGGCAAGAGCAAGAAGAATCCAGGCAACGATGTCATTTACAGCTGCTGCAGACATTGCCATCCGGCCTAGATCAGTAGTTAAAAGCTTGAGCTCAACCAGAATACAGGCCAAGACAGGGAAGGCAGTTATTGAGAGCGCAACTCCTATGAATACAAGAAACGCGGGTCCTTGTACACCTTTAGAAATTGTTGCTCGGAGCGCGAACGATGTACCAATGCCTATTATGAAAGGTAGACTAATCCCTACAATAGCTATACTAAACGCTTTCTTTCCAGTCCGACGGAGAGCCTTAAGATCTAACTCAAGGCCCACAAGGAACAGAAAGAAGAGAAGGCCAAGATTAGCCAATGTATCCAACACTGTTAGACTTTTGTCGGGGAATACGGCATCCAGATAGGCCTTGTTGCGACCAAAAGCTGAAGGTCCAAGCAAGATTCCTCCCTGACATAAATTAGAAAAAAAAAATAGCAATAAGGAGTTAAAATGTGGATGCTAAGATGTATACTGCAATATATTTCTATCTCTATTTTCAAAGAACTCTGCTTTCTAGAGTTTGCTCGTTAAATATTTTGGTAAAAGTAAAATTCCTTGAAAAATCAAGGAAACGCATGTTGTACAAGTTCAAAACCAGAACAGTATTTTCTATCAAAATTCAAATACCATTACTATCAAATGTCCATACAAGCACTTTAAGAGACCTATGGCTTAAATTTCTGTATTAGGCACGCATGATTAGTTACATCAAAGAAGCAAAACCTTCAGAGGAACATAGCATCTAGATATGGCATGCAAAGCAGAAAAAAATGAAAAGGAAACTTACAACAATCTCCGCAATGACACGAGGCTGTCGTAAGGGGCGGAGAAGAAAAGCAAGAGTTCGTGTAAGCGCGACGACAAGAAGTATTTGTAAGATGGCAAGAGGGAGCGCGTAATCGAGAGGATTATCACCCTGGAACACCCCATTCGAGGTTGCGTGCATGGGTGAGGGACATGAACTTGCAACACTAGCATTTGGCGCCATATTAACTAAACTTGTATAGAAAGATCAAAAGCTGATTGCTCCTTTTTCTCAGTTCAGTTTAGTTTCAGTTCCTGCAAGAGTGATTGACTGGGAATGAATAAATATGGAGAAAAGGAAATGCGAGGTACGTACATTGCAATGATAGTGCTGGTAAAGAAATGGAATAATACCAATGCTAATCTTACTAGACAAACATGTATGAATTTAAATTTAAAAACTAAATAAAAAATAATCATAATCCTCACATGGTTAGGAAGTAAGACAATATTAGTAAAATTAACATAACAACTTAACTTTAATTTAGTTTTTCTTCTCTCTTTGCTATGTTACTCATATATCGGAATGGTTATTTCAACAAACTCTAAGCCCTGATTACCACCAAGGAAAAGAAAAAATAAATAAATAAATAAATAAAGCAACCAAACAGAGAAGAAATTTAAAAATAAAATAAAATAAAAAGCAAATTTTCAAAAAAAAAAAAAAATAAATAAATAAAGCAACCAAACAGAGAAGAAATTTAAAAATAAAATAAAATAAAAAGCAAATTTTCAGGTTGCTCCGTGTCATCTTTTTATAACTTTGAGAAAAGACCCCCAAAACACATAAAACAAACGAATTAGCACAAGATTCTGAAGTCCTACGTTCTCTAAATTTCCGTTATTAGAGAAAAAGAGGGCAACTTAAGCTAGATTCCCCAAAAACATGATAAAGGGTGGTCCAAAAACATTTAAGAAACCCCTCAATAGTAGAATTAATCTGGTATTTTCTAACTTTTTTATTTTTTCCTCTTTCAACTTTCCACAAAAAATTTAAATAAAAAAGGTTCCCATTCCCACAAAATCTGAATTTAAAATCAAAATCCTTAAACGCGTGAACCAAACTGGCTAGTAATTTCTATATCCATTCTCACAGTGCATCTTCTCATCTAGTTCTCTAGTTGCGTCTCATGCTTAAAAATTTTGAACTTTTCTTCTAAAATTCATTAGCAAGATGAAAACTTTGAAGCATCTAGAACGAGACAAAACGGTTTTAACAACAAGTAAGCAAGAGATGTCAGTAACACAATTATTCAGCATCCATTGTACCTCCCAAAAAGAAAGAAAACTGAAAATTGAGAGTTGAAAGTTGAAAAAAAAAAAATCATAGTAAAACGAAAACCTGAAGCAGCAAGCGGAGAGAAAAGGAAGGTTTGGATCCCAGGAGATTGAAAATGGGCCTAAAAGACCACCAGATGAGGAGAGGACCAAAAGCCTTCTCAGTCTCGGATATGGTTCGCTGTTAATTTCATTTTTTTCAATCCGTTTTATAAATTATTTTACGTGAAAAAATTATTTTTTAAAAAAAATTTAATTTAATTTTTTATAAAAAAATATTATAATCAAAATTTTGAGTTGTGATTTTAAGCCTAACCGAACTGGATATGCATATGGTGGTGGTATTGGTCGGTAGGATTTTTTTGGCACTTGAAATTAAGGTCTCGTTCACTTTACGGATTCGAGTTTTCAATTCGAGTTGTGACGTGACATTTTTTGATAACTTTTCACTGTAGCAGAAAAAGTTAGATGTGATATTTTTTAAGAATTTTTTACTGTAAAAACTTAAAACAGAAAACTCGAATCGGTAAAATGAATGAGGTTTAAAACTTCAAAAAAGATTTAGAAAGAATTAAAAATTAATATAATATATAGTTTTCATAAATATTATGTTCCAAGGGAAAAAAAATGTAATCACATAAATAATAAGTAAGCAAATCCAAACTGTTATTTTCCACTAATTAATAGAGTGATAATGATTAGTCAAACATTCAGGGAATATTGGAATTGTGATATTTGAATATTGGGGAATAAAATAAATAAGACTGAAGAAAGTTATAGGCTTGTATTTATAGCCAACGTCCAAAAAGTACCGGCTCCAGATATATATATATATATATATATATTTACATGTATGTCCTTTTTTTATGTTACTTTTACAACTTGAATTGAACATCGTTCTCATTTTATAAAAAAAACGTGTCTGACCCAACATGAAAATGTGGGACCAAAAAATTGATACTTATAGCCTAATACATGGCTCCAAATTCAACAAAAATGTCCTACAAGAATGGAAAAGGGGATACAAAAGTTGTTGGAGAAGAAACGTATGGGAAAGAGCGACTGGTTTTTGCATGTAATTATTGAAACTTTCAAAAGACGATATTACCCTTATGCATGTCATCAAATTTACGAATTATACCCTTATGCTACAATGATAACACGTCAAAATATTTTAAGTGGCGTTTGGTTTAAAGATTTGTGTCATGATTCGAATTAAAGTTCTCGCTTTCGTTATAATATTTTTTTTTCACAAAAAACATATGTAAATCATGAATAATTCTGAATCTATCAACCAAATGTCCTCTTAATAAAATAAATCAAATTAGAAAAAATAACTTAGGATAGAATAATACTAAGAACACTAAATCTAATTTTGAAAAATATAACTTCTTGTATTCATGTGTAACATCATTTATTTATATGTGTAATACTCAGTTCGTTTAAGTGTAACATTTAAAAAATTTAGTCTAACACCGTCGAGAAATCACATGACATACCGAAATGTTACACACTCATGAACAACGTCTGCCGGACAACTTTACCTATATATGTATGTGTATATATATATATATATATATGTGTGTGTTACATATATGTGTGCGTGTGTATATGATCTAAAGCATGACTAGTTAGTTGAAAGAGGAAAAATAAGAAACAAATAAACTAATTCGTCGGAACTGTAAGATGAATTAAAGTTCTCTTACGTTATCATTTTTCTTCTCTTTTTTTCTGACAGATGAAATAAGAAGAGACTTTCTTCACCTGATGAAATTCTCCGGAGAAAGTTCTGGCCAGAGAAATCTTGGCCCGTCCTTCATATATCACAGTAGTTTCTATTCATTTCCGTTAAGAAAATGAAAAAGGCTTTTGTTTTCTTCCCGTGATTTACGAAGAAGTTTTGGGAAAATGAATCACAGAAATAAATGGTCTTGTTTGGAATCTCGGAAAATTTCGACAGAGATTTGAACAAGAAGTGACGAAGAGTGGTAACATTAGTCGGTCTGGAACTTTCTGTTTATAGAATTGGTTGGACGGTTGAAAATGTTGTAAAAAACCAATTATGCCACTTTCATTTCTGGTTCTGGACATGGGTCTGTTGGTAAATTACAAAACCAAGTACTTCTACTTTTTTTTTTTTATTTTCCTAGCGAAAAACTAACGTAACATAAATAAAGGATTATTGACAGTTTACATTGTCTGCCACTTTTGGCATGCTTCTAACTGTTAGCTAAATCACATTATATTAAAATATATGTAAAATAAATACTTTTTAATAAAAATCTAATAGTAAAAAATAAAGGATTATTGACAGTTTAATTTTTCTAGTACTATCTTGTTTTTCTTTTTTTTTTTTTTGGCCCTTTTCTCTTCGGTTCTTTCTTTAAAAAAAAAAAAAATGTGATTTCACATGTTATCCTTTGACTTCTCAATTTTAATTCATTATCGCTTTAACTTTCATTAGAGAGACTTCAAAATTGGTGGACGATTTAGAATCTATGCGAATATGCAGATAAGATTTATGATGAAAAGAAAACGCGTCCTACTAGTAACATGACGTGCTCATTTATAAGCCGAATTTTATACTTATTCAGTTACGTTTTTGAGTTATGATAATTTGAGTATAAATTTTAAGTTAAATTTGAGTTATAATTTGAATTGAAGTTGTAACTTAATTTTGTGTTTGGTTGTGTATCTTTGAGTTATGGTATGAGATGAGAATCTTTTAAAATTTATATTTAGGTGAGTCAAAACTTGAGTTTATATTTAGATAGTATTTTAATAAAAACTCAATAATGATGGAAAATTTTAATAGAGTATATGGGTGGGGTTTTATTTGTCTCTTCGTTGTGAACGCATAAAAAAAGAATCATCACAATCAGAATTAAAATGAAAAAGTTATAGCGTTTTTAAGAATAAAAAAAATATTGTTCATTAACTTGAGTTTGAGTTTAGGAACTTGAGTTGAAGGGAAAACTTAAACTCGGATTTTAATCTCAAACTCAAGTTCAAACTCAAATTTTACAAACAACTTGAGTTTGAGTTTAGGAACTTGAGTTGAAGGGAAAACTTAAACTCGAATTTTAATCTCAAACTCAAGTTCAAACTCAAATTTTACAAATAAAAAAAAAAACATAAACTTAAATAAAGTTGTAACTTGAGTTCAAATTTTTTTTGAGTTTGAGTGCAAACGAGTATGTACCTTTGAACGAGCTCAGCTCAAGACTTAAGTACATGTCATTTTCCTTTCAATTCGTGGACTCGAGTTTTTAATTTGAATTGATATGTGATTTTATATGAGATTTTTTTACTGTAGCAGAAAAAGTTAAATGTACTCTTTGTAAGAGCTTTTAACTGTAGTAAAATTAAAATTAAAAATTTAAATTGGTGAAATGAACTGGATCTTAAAAATCATCACTTATTTAGCACATCAGCAATATTTATTAAATTTATAGCATAATTTATCAAAAATTTAAAATTAATTTACCGACAATTTTCAATCATTGAAATATTTAAAGAAAAAAAGTGTTAAAACGCCTTTGGTTTTACCTTTTCCAAATACCATGGAATAAAGTCCTGTTTCGATAAAAATAATGTTCACGTACTCAATAATTCCGATAAGAATAATGTGCAACAAAGGTTTTTTTTTTTTTTTTTTTTTTGAAAGATGAATATTTTTTGTTTGACATGATACAAAAAACTTGCCAGTATATTTAAATTAATTCAAAATAAAGTATATCCAAAATCAGGTTAGACTAATGAATTGTGCAAAGAGAAGGGATAAGCATCACAGTAAGGATAAAAGATTCCTAAATTTAACAGTTTATATATTATGAACATTTCAGCAAAAATGTATATACATATATGTGTGTATATCACGAATAGAAAAATATCCCTACCATTTGGTATGATAAAATAGAGATTTAGAATTGTTGCAGACATATATTAACAATAAATCTACATTTTTACCTTCAATGTTGAGGTATTGATCGTTTGAATCACTCCACTCTCAATTAAAAAAAAAATTAAAAATATGAAGTTTCTCTAATAGGGCCAGAAAAATAAATTATCGATAACTCTTTACTTTTAACAGTTAGATCTGTATTAGAAAAATAATTTATTCGTTATATTTTTCTAATCTAACGTGATTTTAACCAAATCAAATAGTCATGCTTCATGGGTGAGGAGTCCCTATCAGAGAAAATCTCTTAAAAATAAATACAAATGGTTTACTTTCATTAATTGTTTTTTAATTCTTTATTTTATTAAACTTATCTTTGTTTTTTCTTTTGAGGTATATCTATAGTCGTATACTTGCTAGGATAATTTGCCTTTTGCTTGCCTCATTATTAGTGTTACGTTGATAGACTTTTAAATATGTAGTTTAAGTGTAAATCCGAACAAAAAAATAAAATCTAAATTTATGTTAAGATGTGCATTGTAAACATGAATCTAAATATAAGGAAATGAATTAGAAAATGAGTTTTATTGTGGCAAAAGGGTTGGGATTGTCTGAATTTGAAGGGACATTAAATCCGGATTTTCCACTTTTTTGAACAGAGATTTCCATTGGGATGTTGATCCAAATTAGGTGAATTGGTTAGCCAAATAATGAAGGGTTTGTTTTGACATGCATGTAATTAAGAGAAATGAGACAAATATCTTTTTAAGTATGAGTCTGAATTCTCGTTCTTTATGGAGTATACAACTCACCATAAATACCAGAATACTCTTGACTTCACTCTCTCATGATGTGTATTAACCTCATGATCAAGAGAAATGGCGTAAAGGCCTTATTGTCTACTTGCCTATAAATATATTATAATCACTTCTGTTTAGTCTGCTGATTTGAGTTTTTAATTTAAATTAAAATGTGCCGTTATGTTAGAATTTTTTACTATAATAAAAAAATTAAATATAATTATTTTTAAAAAAATTTTACTATAACAAAATTTAAATTTTAAACTCAAATTGATAAAATATGTAGCATCAACCATTCAAGCTTTTGACTTTTGTGCCATTGCAGAGGGATATATAGATGATTTCAATTTGACTGTAGATTTGGTGTGCCTACAGTTTGGAGCCAACTTTGGGACAACAATCATCGTTCTCTGAAATCTTGTGTACCTCTGCAACGTTAGTAGACCCCAAAACCAATTATGACATGTCCACAGCTAGTGGGCTGAACATCCGACGACCACACCCTTATGTCCCGATCTAAAATTGTGGTAACTGATTGAGGCATCGTTCGTTTCGCTGATTCGAGTTTAGAATTTTAATTTTATTACAGTAAAAAGCTCTCATAAACAGTCACATCTAATTTTTTTACTACAGTAAAAAGTACTCACATAAAATCACATCTCAACTCGAATTCTAAACTCAAATCAACGAAACGAACGAGACCATGCATTTTAATAAAATAAAGTACAATTTATTTAGATTAAATGGTGCGTTTAGTTGCCAATGAAAATGAGAATAATAATAAAATAGAATAAAATAAAAGATGATTTATTTATTTGGTTTTGTTTTTATAAATATAATAAAATGAGATATGAATATTTTCATGTTAATAAAATCACCCCTCATGTTAATATAATTGATATTATATATATTAATATAATCATTAAATAACTAATATTATATATATAATTATAGTTATAGTTATATAATTATTTATTATTATAATATATAAATATAAAATGATATATAATATAACAAAATAATGATATTGTGATTATTTTATATTATAATATTACAACTATATTATATTATTAGAAATATAGTATAATTATAAAATGTAATAATATAATATAATATAACATATTAAAATTATAATATAATATAGTATACTATCATTTATTATCTACTATCTATTATAA